GCAACTAGGCTTCAATTGCAAAATTGACAGAAATTTTTAACAGAATTTAACAATAAGCAATCAGGTTTTGAGTACACTACAGGAAATAGGATCATTATATGAATTTTGTTAATATAGTATAGTGTAAATAGGTAGGGAGTGTGTGAATCAGATCTTCTGCGAGAATACATACAATGTAAAAAGAAATAATTGACGCCATTGAAGAATACAAAGAATTTCATACACACTGTACATGTATCAAAAATCAACAATTGGTTGGTACTTAAATATTATATATTAAATAATTTTATTACACATTGTTAAATATCTTTTAAGATTAGATATAAGAAAAAAAATCATATTGAATAAAACATTGAGTATATGGATACAAATACTGTATTTGGGTAATCTCCATTATTTTACAGCTAATTAAACTACCTACTCTATGAGATGTGTAACTAATACTTTTTCAAGAACATCATACCTTGTTACTGACATGTCACAGCTTCATCACATAGCCGACAAATGATATCACAACTTCTTCAAATACCTGTTCCAAGACAACTGAAGTCAACCCTTCTTCACATACATTCCATCATATTTAAAAACTTAGTATAAGTAGTAAAAAAAACAAGCTTACCTATCAGCCTCATCAAACACGACATACTGCACTGACTTTAACTTCAGATCCATTTCCATGACAATATGCAGCAGTCGGCCAGGTGTTGCGATGATGATGTCGGGATTCTCGTGTAGAGCAGCAAATTGTTCCTCCATGCTGTCGCCACCTAGAATAACTTCAGCACGCAGATCTGTAAAACGCCCTAACTGAAAAGCCAAATAATATTTGAGGTAATTTTTGACAGATATTACAGCTTTATAAAGAATGTCTAAAAGTCAGACTACGAAGAAAACAATTTTTGATAGAGGCAAAAATAACTATTCTAAAGTACTGAAGGGGTGTGTAAAGAAATAATGTGTGACCAAGTTATAACAGGATGTGCTTTATATTATGTATGAAGTGTTGTATAATTTGCCAAATATTATGTATTAACTATTAGACCATAAGGTCTACATCTAGTGTTGAATCCAAACCCCAAGTAGCAGTGGGTACTGCAATGCCATTTCTAGACACTAAGTGTAAGCTCGGTGGTTTAGTGGTTGTGACAGCAGGCTACTTACCTGAAGGTTGTGGGTTCGATTCCCACACAAATCATTTGCGAGGCTTTTTTCGCAAGTACTTGAGAATGTACTGAGTATTCAGTATAATAACATGTTAGGTAGGTCAAAATGTTACATCTATGGAATTTCCTGATGCAAATAACATGTAAATTACATGTATTATAATAATTAGCACTACTTAGGTCTAATTTTATCATCCAAAGAATAATTCAAATCTCATGATCATTGTAATATGTATCATTCTTAAGCAGGGAACTCAATGCGTCGGAGACCACAAAGCAACAGGCCTGATGGATCATATTAAAAAATGTGTTGTTGTCAAGTGTTGTTTTTGTTGATCAAAGGTCAGCCATCTGTACCCATGTCACTATACCTCTTTGGTAAACTTAAGGGTCTGGAGTGCCAACTCTCGTGTGGGTGATAAAATCAAGGTTCTTGCACCGGATTGCGCTGACCGTTGTTGCAGCTTTTCGAACATCGGGATGAGGAAAGCAGCTGTCTTGCCACTTCCTGTCCTTGCCATGGCAACGACATCCTTGCCTTCCATAATTTCTGGGATACTCTGAATAGGGAGTGTAAAAGATAAAATATTCTTTTTGGGTTAAGTGCAAAAAATAATGGTGGACATTTGGTAAAATAAAACTAGACAAATTCAAAAATCAAACAAAATTAATATATATACTATAATCATCAACGGAGATAGAATTTGCATGATTAGTTACCCCAAAATGCATGGAATTGGAAGGTGAGCTTTACACCACCAAGCGACGGCCATGATTCAATATAATCACACGTCTATATTCTTGGGATCTTCTATTGCCATCAATTAAAGATACAATTGCAGCTAAAAGCTGAATTACGGTAGAGTATTCTTATGACAATATAAAATACAATGTATTTCAAATGTATTGAAGCATTGGTTTAATTCTTGTACATTTTTTTCTGTTACGTGTGTAGCTCCAAATAAATTACATGTTATTATCAGTAGTTACATTGTTTTCTTATTGGCTAGTCTACATAATTGCTAGTCACAGTATCTTAAGTTTTCAAGTAGGAGACTGATCATTAACCAATTATTAGAGAATTTGCCAGTTCAGTGTTACTTATTTATTCCAGCCTAAATTTATATTATCTGATTTTATTGAATTAATCATTTATATGATGCGAGGTGTGTCATTCCCTACCTGGTTTTATGGAGAATTTTGAATAATATAAAAAGTAGAGATTTTGCTTCAAACTCAAAGATAACCAAAGTTCCTCAGAATCAGAATATTGTAAGCCCACCTACAACAGAAAGATATTTTCACCACACAGACAATTTTGTGATTAAAATGATAATTATCAAAATCAACTGGTACATTACCTTGCGTTGGATGGGTGTTGGGATCTTATATCCCTTACGAATGATACCCTTGAAGACAGCATGACTCAAACCTAAGAATAAAAGAAGATTTATCAGTGAGAAGTGGAAGAGTGGCTAAATGTTTATGTAAGTACTTCTAGGTTGCATCACCCAAAGAGGTTCCATCTGAAAAGGGGTAAAATGTTGTTGATGATAATAAGTACTACTTACCCATTGATTGAAACCCTCCAGATTTCTTCTTTTTGTTTTGAATTTTTACCATCTTACGGGTGTCCAGTTCATCTTCTAGCGATGGAAAGGAATCTGGCAAGAACTCTGCCACCTAAAAAAACCCAGCAAATCTATATCATTAGGTTCATTAACACCTATGCCTGCCCAAAAAAATCACGCTCCAGTAGTTTAAAATCACCTATCTCCTTATTTTGCAAGCTAAACAGTTGCGCCCCTCACTTAATCATCGAGACACCCCTTCACCTTCGTGCTCCCAATCAGTGTGCCCCTCCATCAACTCCCAATTTTCAAGACTCCTAGATACGGCACTGAGAGCAATACTAAAGTAAGGCCATGTAAAATAAAATAATTGGTTTAGCATTCTCTCCCTACCGTCAGAGAGGTTACCGACTCAATTTTTTTTTTTTTTTACAAAACACTCACAAACTCAATTTAATAGAGGTTTGTTTACTACCCGTCCGCACACTAGCCAGATAACTTGCAGTTCTATGCTCTACTGTTGTTCTATGAGATAATTGCATTATGACTGTTATTTTAGGGAAATGTAAAAGAAAAACATCTCCCTTGTTATTCATACATAAAGTTTCTGCTTCCTATAGATGAATTATATAATTTTTTGTATGCAATTTTGGTCTCTGTTGCTGCTTTCTTCTTCTACTTTTTTTTTGCTGTTTTTTCTTGCGACACTCTTTTTTCATGTTCGACAACGTGAGAAAAAAATAAAAAACCCTTCCTACATATAAATTGATAACATAAGGATGCTAACTAATTTTTTTTATTTTACAAGGCCCTAAGTATATTAATTGCGTGGATGATACATTCAAATCTAGCTAAAATTTGCGAGGAAAGTTTACCTTTACCTTCACTTTTTTTATATATTAATATTAGATCCAATCTTAATTTTCGGCAAAGCAAAGGCTTAAGTCTGCATGAAAATTGGTCCTTATTTTCTCAAATGCTTCCAATTCTACAGTAGGCCAAAGTTTTGCACGGAGACCATGGACAACATTCCCCTCTCCTCTCTAATCACGTCCTACTAGGCCTCTAGGCGGCGCTAATGCACTTTCGCACTAACTTTTAATTCTCAATTTTTTTACCTCAGTGTTCTTCCCACAGTCACAACATATAATTATATCTCATGATTACATGATTCAACAACTCACAAAGTACATTTTTCAACCAAAACTGCCTTTATAATACAGTTTTTTGTGCTTCCATAGCACGACGAACTACTGCCATTTTGATCAGCAAAATTGCCAGAAAGTGTGTTTCATTTGTAATTTTGAAACTATTTGTTTTGGCTGGAAAATATAACATGACATACGCAAAAGTTCCCTTTCCTTTTTATCTCGATAACATCCCAGGTGAAAATATAATGAGCACTTTCTTTTTTTATCTAAATTAACATCCTGATGTGAAAATGTGCGCTCTCCTTTATATCTCGATAAAATGACATGCGAAAAATGTGCACTTCCTTTTTTATCTCCATAACATCCTATGTGAAAATGCACTCTTCTTTTTATCTCTAATATTTATGATTGCCTAATTTTCCCAAGTGCATAAACGGTCTTGCGCCTTTAATCGGTATTTTTTGTTTTTTTCGGGAGGGCATAAAAATAGATAATAATTTGTAAACTCTTGGACATCGTGTATGTTTTTTTAAGTAAGAGAAATTTAAATATTTTCAGAAAAGAACCAATGACAGCAAATTATTCATTAAACCTACATCATACATCAGTGATAAACTTGAGTGTAAATGAAAAACACACAACAGATATGCTCATATCCTAAAATTAACATGGCTCAAGCAGCACCTACACATTTTTTAGACCAAAACAAGTTTGAATCAATCACCCTCATACAAATTGGGCTGAGATTCAGGCAAGATAGAAATACTTTGATAGACTGGTGTCGAAGGTATGGCTTGTTGGCAACAAATATGGACTGCCTGAGATGCAATGTTCAGTGTAAAGAAAAGGCATATGGCCGGTCAGTGGATCTGACAACCTGGAGGTGCCCCAACCAGGGATGACACAAAACAATTAATATCTGAAAAGGAAGCTTTTTTGCCAAGAGTCACCTCGAACTGTGGCAGATTTTGGAGCTGACATACATGTGGTCGACGAGTTGTGGAAGAACAACAGGACCATCACAAAAAAACATTAAAAAGTATTACTTGAGATTGGATCTGATCATAGTCGTGGATTGGATGCAATTCTGCAGAGACGTTGCAGTGATGTATCTAATAAACCACCCACAACACCTTGGTGGCCCAGGAATTCTTGTTGAGAGAGATGAATCGGTATTTGCCCAAAAGTAAAAACCATGCTGGACGTTTAGTTCCTAAACTATGGATATTTGGCACATATCAACCCGATACTAAACGTGGACTGTTGGTGCTAGTGCCACAAAGAGACGCGGCGACATTGATACCAATAATTACACAATAGGTCCGTCCCGGATCAATAATCTGGTCGGACATGTGGGCAGCGTACGGGCAACTACAAAACCATGGGTACGTGCATGGGACAGTAAACCATACAAGCTACTTTGTGAATCCCCAGACTGGAGTTACTACCAATCTTGTGGAATCCATCTGGAAGAGGGCAAAAAGTAAAACGAAAGCAATGCATGGCCCAACAAACAGGAACATAATTGCAGATTACCTCGCTGAATGTATGTGGTATCAGTGCTTCAACGACGCACCGTTTTTCAATTTTTGGACCCAGATCTCCACAGACCTCTATCCATTGTAAGAACTTTATCTTTACGCAAACATTGAAATTTTAGACTCATCTTTTATCATAATTCTATTGTTGCTGTTGTTGTTGCTTTACTGTAATTACTATAATATATTTTATAAAATGTTACATTTTTTCGATACTTTTATAATTTAAGGATACAATGCATGTAACCCGCAAGTCTCATATGAAAAACTGCCTTTAAACTATAAGTTTGATTAAATTGTGATTGTATACTGACGTTTCGCCAGTGTTTATTTAAATGCACAATTTTATGCAAATAAAAGTTATGGAACCTTACTTGTTGGTGTTCGTATGTCATTGCAGTTGTGTTATTAGGTATTATGTGGCAGTGTTTGATTATTACGTGGGTTCTCGTGAAATTTACAGGCCTACAATTACAAACATAAATCAGTAATGCTCCAAATACAGATACAAATATTTAATGGCATATTGCAGCAAAAAAACTACTAGAAAAAGCAGTTTGATGAACATCAATTAGAAAAGCTGAATGTTAAACAATTGCTCCTGAAAAATAAAAGATTGTATGTATGATTTTGTTGTCGGATGTTTCATAGTGTAAAAACTAACCCGAATTATAACATAGGTATGTTAGAAGAGTGACGTCACGCACTGTTATCGTTGTCGCGACACCGATGCTGATTGTTTTGGTTCTCCATAAAATCGTATTAAATCGTTTATTGGTTGCATTCGCTAACCTTTGAACTTATTTACAAAGTAAACAGGTCAAAGTTTACTTGCGCTTTTTAAAAATATTTTTTTCATTGATCGGTCACGAAGTTACAGTATACGGAAGTTTTTCTTTGAAATAAAGCATCATTTACACCTATTTTGTAAGCACTGTAAATTATAAAAACCATCCTGTAATTTTAAGAATTATATATTTAATATCTATGCCAAGTATGAATTAGATCTGATGCTTCTCAACAATTTTTTTGATATTCTCAAATCTTACGACTCTCGAGTCCGATGCATAAAAATGTTCGCTGATCGAAAGATGTGTACATTGGAGGATGATTCAAACGGCATATTTGTTATTAAATTTACACATAAAATCTGTATTACTGATGAATATGTAAAATATAATCATTGCTGTATTATAAATAAAATATTTTTAAAGATTTCGATTTATTATAATGATGTTTTGCGATTAATTTACCCGCGTATAATTGTGAATTACCGTCACGAAATTGCATATGGCATCTTATTAGGCAATTCTGGCCTGTAATTGGTCTGTATAGATCACGTGACATTGAATTTGAAATTTGATTGGATGATATGTGTTGACAGGAATATAGAGCACAAACATCCTGGTGTTGCATAGGCCTACATTAATAGTTTTTAAACTATTAAAAATAATAATACCCCTGTAGTAATAATAAATTAGTCAAATAATGCATGTATAGAGTTTATTAATTTAGTAGAAATTATTAGATTAAAGCAATAAACAGTACCTAATTAATTTTTAATTTTTTTTTCAAAGTATGCACAATGAGAATTAATTGACAAATTAGTAAAAAGGTCACAAACTTTGTATAATGCCTGTAGCCAAATTTTCGCCATAATTAAATATTTTAAAAAATCATTAAAAATCAACCATACAACCAAATTAAATTTTGTAAACGTTTTTAATGTTATAACACTTGGTAGATTTTGTGATCAGTATTGTGGACATCTAATCAAATACGCCTTTTTCACGAATCGGTAGACATCTTGAAGTGATGACAAACATTGCGAATCAGCGGTGCGTAACCAACAGAAATAAGATAAGCTTTTGGGCTGATTTTCTGACATCATGTTATTTAAAAAA